CATCATGCCTTTTCCCCATACTGGTTTTTATGTTTTTTTATTTTTTACTTATGTTATGGAGATACAATTTTCCTATAATGAAATGTGTAGGAACTGCGTAGGAACCCATCTTTGGGGCGCTTCAGTCGGATCCAGCTGACTTGCCTGGTTTGTACCTGAGAGAGGAGTGTGGATTGAGGAAAAGGCAGATAGATACTAAGAAAAAGATAGAGACACAGAATAGAGTCAGGAGGGCAATCCAGTGAACATTGAATATTTCAAGTTTATCCTTCAACATTCTATATACCCCAACCAAAAAGGGGGAAATGGCAAAAGATGCCTTTATCGTGATACAAAGAACAAATAGACCTTTCTTATTCTTATAGGCATTTAGCGACCAAGCCTTAGACTAAGCCTTTCATTATCTGACCTTGAGGATAGAAAGTAACTACACCTTGGACCAAATCTCTGGTTATTTAAGTAAGACTTCCAAACCTTAGACCAAACATCCTTCAGGTCTTATGACTTTTACCTTGGAAGAGTAAGGATAACTTTGAACTCTCTGACTTTAAGTCAAGATGAAGTGGAGCCATTTTTATGTGTCCTGACAGAAATGCTTCCATTCACATTTAGTAAAATGCATATGCCAAGTAATCAAGGTCTTTCCTACTGACTCCAGAATGGAGTTCTTCTTTCCATGCCTTTCCGTTGCTTGTTTTGATCCAGGTCACCTAGGTTAGTTCTGCCAGCTCTAGAACTTCATATACATGAAAGTATGCATGGTGGTGGTGTTTGAGACAGAGTTTCAATGTGTTGTTTAGCCCTGGCTGTCCTAGATCTCACTCTCTAGACCAGGCTGGCCTTGCTTCCCGAGTGCCAGGACTAAAGGCATGTGCCACCACTGCCTGGCACAATATGCTATTTTTGATTGGGCTTCTTTACTCAGCATGACAGGTTTGTTGAAATTTGCCCATGATGTAGGGTGTGTCATGATTTCTTTCAAGTTACTGCATAGGGGGACATGTTCTCTCTTGTCTCCACTGCCCTGGATGTAGGACACCTGATCTGTTTTTGATCTGGTTTTGAACTCAAACAAGATATTTGTCCTGATCCTGGCACAACTCTGTCCAAATTAAACTGGACTCTGTTACCTTTGAAACTTTGCATTTATACTGAGATTTAGGTCTTTCAGGGGGGTGCCTCCATCATCTCAAAACCAATCACAGTACATATGTTCAACCAAGGGCTGTGGGATGGATAAAAGTGGTACCCAATAGAAGATGGGCAGGTCTGTTAGCCATCATACAAAGCAATAAAGACTACATACCTTTATTGCTTTACTTTGGCCGTGATTAGCACCCAACCTTGGGAAGTGTTGGCAGTGTTACCAATGGTCAATAACAGGCAGCACAATGGGCTCAAGGTATTATAAGGGCAACAACAACTTAATGAGCAGCAACAAAGCAGTAAACATTTTGTTGATTGTTTTATTTAATCCTTATATTTGATGTAGGTACATTATAATCCCAACTTCAGAGTGCAGCCTATGGAGGCATGGGATGTTATGCATCTACAGAAGTTTATAGCTGATCATGGTAGCATACACCTTTAGTCCCAACTCTTGGGAAACAGAAGCAGGTGGATCTCTGTGAGTTCAAGGCCAGCCTTATCTACATACCTAGTTTCAAGACAGCCAGGGCTACATACCCTGACTCCAAAAAAAAAAAAAAAAAAAAAAAAAAAAAAGCATGTAATCCTTACCTAGCTAGTATTTTAAGAAGTGTATGCAAAGCAAACAACAGGAATGTGAAGCAGAACAGGTGTTGAGTTAAAGTCAGCTGCCACTGTGAGACTAAATAGTACTGTTCCTACTTTCTCTTCCCACTGGTATTTTACAAAACTTCCATAATCCCCGAATCCTCTCTGTCCGTGCTTACTGACCCGGAAAGAGTGTAATGTGTAGCAAATACTTCTCTGAGGCCTTCAAACCAGTTGTACAATTGTGGTTTTACAAGTTGAGTAATTTAACACTGCTCTTGACAGCAAGCTTACTTAGATAATTTGCATATACAGTTACCAACAGCTTCAGCCAAAACCCATGTAAAACCAGAAGGGTTTCGGGAGGCAAGCGACTGACTTAAAATTATATTTGGAGCACCAGTGAAAGCAATCATCTTCCTGAATGTTGTTATCATCTTTTCTTGCTTTCCTACCCAAAAGACCCTTCTGTGCTCTCTTCCTGTACTGCTCCTGTAACTTTATTGATTTGTTTTAGAGGGGAAGATGTGGCCGTGTTGTATAACAGTTTCCTCTGAGATTAAAACATTCTATCCTGCAGGACGATCCTTAAGCAGGAAGGTGAACAAGGCAAAATAACTTCAGGAAGTCCCTGAAACTGACCAGATTCACTAGGCCCCTCCCTGCCAGAGTGGTCAATAAAAACTCAAAGTTCCCTTAAGACCCAGCAGAGTCAAGCTGTAATGAAGATTCATAGACCTGATCAGGTGCCTGGAAGAAATAGAAAGCAGACAAGTTTCCTGGAAGCGGTTTAGACAAACTGAGACCTCTCGAAAGAGCACTCCGGTCTACTGGGCTGTCTCCAAGCTATGCAGTGTGCTCCAGGTTCCCAGCTTTTGTGAGCTGTCACCCATGCTGGGGTGGCTTGGTGATCTTTTAGTCATTTCTGCCCCAGTAAGTGACCCCCTCACCCATATTGCTGAGTAGCCCCAGTACAACTTATTCTGGTGGTATCTATACTTTGGTCTGTCATGGGTTCCCTAAATGGAGTGAGAAGATTTATATGTTTCATCTACCTAGGGAAAGTGTTGTCACACAACAAGTAGAAAGTGTCCCTTTACCTGGCAAGAATGTCCTGCATGTAATTGGGAAAGACATTCGTCCCTTTGAAGCTGGATGAGTTATACTTGAGGTTTTAAATGGTACCCAGTGTTAGGAAGAACAATAATGGCTTTTTATATGAGTTTATAAGACTGTCACCAAAGGCTATAGAGAAGGTAGATCGACAGCAGAAATTTAATCCCCATAGTTCTGGAGGCCAGAAGTCAAGATCAAAGTCTTTCCAGGGCTGGCTTCTGAGGCTGATGCTGCAGTCATGCTTGGTCTTCCCATGGCCTTTCTTCTGTGCCCTTGTCTCTTCATGGTCTCTGGTAATACTGGATTAGGGGGCCACCCACTTGACCTTAGGTCCACACACAGAACCTCACTGTAACTTAATTACATCTGATACAATCCCTCCTAGACACGAGGGTCATGGTCTGAGAAATTGGGGGCTGGTTCTTGAATCTATGAGTTGGGGCACATACAGTTATAACTCGGCACAAACACTTTCTACCTGCAGTACGCAGCTATTAATGAAAATAAGGGAATGTTTGGGAAATGTCATGAGCACAGTTATATCTTACACAAGAGGGGTGCTGTTGGTTGTTAAATTAGGTCTGTCTTCAATCATACTCCAGAATTAATTGCATGTATACACTGTGGTGGTCCCAGGGGAGTGGAATCCCCCTGAATGCCTTAAATCTCTGTAGAAGGCAGGACTTCAAAGGTAACAGAGTCCAGTCTTATTTGTATAAGTTGTGTAAGGATTGGACTGAGTATCTTATTCCCCAAATCTCAGCAGCCCAGGTGTTTAGTAACAGGGAAGTGGCAGAAGTTTCGGCAAACAAGTGTATCCAGTAGATTCCTCTGCCATAAAAAAAGGATTAAGCGGTTTAAAATAATTTGTGAATTGAACTTATCTATAAAGAAAGATAAAAGTGTCGCACATTTAGAGAGAAAGGTAGAAAGAGAAGGAAATGGCATATTGAAGGCAATACCTACCAACAAGCAGTTGAAAAGTTAAAACGATCTCTGGGTATAGTGTTGCACTGCTCTGATCCCAGCATTTGGGAGGCCAAACTGGGGCTAGACTGAATGTGAGCTCCAAGTTTATCACATAGTGAAACCCAGTCACAAGAAAGCAAACTAATAATTAAGATTTTAATGTCTTTAACTTAACAAAGAAATATGTTTTAAAGTCACCAAAAAAGCAATCTGATAATGAATTACAGGAAATGTAAAATGGGCTTTTTTAGTTGGGGGGGGGGGAGAAGGAAGTATCTGTATACTTTAAAAAAATATGTCAAAAATATTATGAAAACACTAGGCTTCAACTTTAGCTTACCCCACTCTGTAGAAAAAAGAAAAGAAAAACAAACAAACAAACAAACAAACAAACAAAAACACGTTATGAAGCCTCCGTGTGTTGGTCATTTTATAACGCACCGAGGAATGGAGAAGGATGGAGACGGAGAAGAGGGAAAAGAGCAAAATTGAATTGCTCTAACACAGGAACCCGAGATGTGAATCAAAGACGAAGCACTTCCCTAGCACAAGCAAAGCCTAGGATTTGATCCCCAATATCACAAAATAAAGAGCTTGAAAATTGGTTCAACTATGACCAAGCATAGTAGCACATGCCTTTAATACCCAAATTCTGGAGGCAGAGGCAGGTGATCTCTGAATACAAGTCAACGCAATCTACATAGTAAGTTCTAGGCCGTCAGAATAGAAATAAAAATCAGTCCAACCTTGACAATTCTAGGATCAGCCTAACCAAGAGAAATCAGGCCAGCCTTCCCAACTTGTGAGTGCTTTGATATAATCAAGACATGCGCAGAAACCCATAGAAAGTTCTCACTTTCCGGAAGAGCCTGCTACTGCTTGTGTGCTACACAGACAAGGCAAACAAACAAAGCAAAAACACAAGCAAACAGCAACAAATGGCTCAAGACTGCTAAGCTCTGTTAGTTTAGGCCTCCTTCCGCAGCCCTTTTATCGGCTGTCCGGTAGGACGGCCCCACCCTTACCCTACGTAGGAGCAGCTGGTTGGAGGATGCGGAGAAGGGCACGCAGCGCAGCCAATTCAGAGAGCGCCCCTTGCCCTGCCCCTCCCCTGACCTTCGGGCCATGCTGCCGGAGACAGGCGTCCGGGCGTCTGCTGCTGAACTGGACGTCGGCACCTAGAGCATGTCCTTGCCCGAGAATCCGTACCCCACGGCTGGGGAGCAGCCGGGAGCTGGGCTGCACTTGCGGGCGACCGGAGGCGCGCTGCTGCTTTGCGGGCTGACGGTACTGCTGGGCTGGGTCTGGCTGCGGCGGCAGCGCGCATGCGGCATCCCTCCGGGGCCCGCACCCCGGCCACTCGTGGGGAACATCGGGCACTTGCTGGTGCCCCGCTTCCTGCGGCTGCAGTTCTGGCTGGGCGCGGGCGGCCAGAAGGACACGGACACCGTGGCCACGCACGTGCGCCTGGCCAAGCTGGCCGGCGTCTACGGCAACATCTTCAGCTTATTCATCGGCCACCGCCTGGTGGTGGTCCTCAGCGACTTCCACAGCGTGCGCGAGGCGCTAGTGCAGCAGGCTGAAGTGTTCAGTGACCGTCCGCGGATGCCACTCATCTCCATCATGACCAAGGAGAAGGGTGAGCACGCCGCGGGCGCCCGACCCTGGGGGGGCAGGTGACCACCTGGTCCTGCCCATCTGTGCCCTGCGCCGTGGTGTGTGTGTGTGTGTGTGTGTGTGTGTGTGTGTGTGTGTGTGTGTGTGACTCAAAGGAAAGAAGGGTTAGGGGGTCACCCTCCTGGGAGCCATCCCTTTTCTGTCCCACACGAGGCCTCCGCACTCACAGGTCTGTGACCCCAGCATTTCTAACTTTGGCCGTGTTAGAAAAGGTCAATGAAAATTCATTCCACCCAGTGAAGAGACTCTAGCCAGCTCAAGTGTGGCAAACATGGTTCTGGCAAGCCTTGCCCTTTTCCCCATTACCCCTGCCTTCCTAAAAACTATTAGATTACATCCCTAAAACTAACCTCCAAGGTCCATCCCCTTATTTGGCCACATCCTCCTCCCGACGCTGACTACCAAGGTCCAACTATCAAAGGACTGAAGTTCAACAATCAAAAGTCCCCTTCGGCCAGCTTCAGTAATATACACAACCAAAACTAACCAACTCATCCTGTCACTGGGTCCCTCATTTTACCTTCATAAACTGCCATTTGCCTATGGCTGCGTCTGCCCCTTCTCTATCCAGAGACTCCTCGGTCACCACTCCCCCTCAAATCCCTTCCCCACTCTTGCCCCTTTTCTCTCTCCCTTGTTCCCTCCCCCTTCTCCCTCTTACTCTGTCTCCTGTCTGTCTTTGTCTCTTATTCCCTGCCCTGTGTTCCCCTGGGGCAAATAAATCTCCTTTGTGCTGAGAACTTGGTCTTGGGGTGTCTCGAACTGACTTCAAGGCTCCTCCACCCAGTGACTTGCAATTGTAAAAGTATAAGAAAGTCTAGAAGCCAGCCGGACAGTGGTGGCGCATACCTTTAATCCCAGCACTTGGGAGGCAGAGGCAGGCAGATCTCAAGGCTAGCCTGGTCTATAAAGCAAGTTCCAGGACAGCCAAGACAGTTACACAGAGAAACCTTGTCTCAAAAAAATAAAAAAAAAAAAATAAATAAATAAACAAAACAAAACAAAAATCCAGAAGCCAAGCTAGGAGCCCTTTGAACTGAATTCATAGCCTCTCTAAAGAACATGGCTACTGTCTATCCATTTCTTAAGGATTTGCCTGAAATTAAGTTTAAAAGAATATTGGGGGAGGGGCAGAGGATATTTCAAGATTATGCCCCATTGTAACGAGTACGGTTTTTCTGCCCGCCACCTGATCTTGTGCTGTTGTCACGCCGCCAGCCCCAAATAACACACAGAGACTCTGTATTTGATATTATCCTGTTGGCCAGTTACTAGTTTCTTATCGGCTAGCTCTATCTTAATTATTAACCCATTTCTGTTGATCTATGTATTTCTCTTACCGGGGAGCCGGCGGCATACTGTTTTCTTTAGACTCTCCATCTTGGCTCTCCTTCCTACTTCCTCTTTCCTCCTTGTCTCCTAGTCCCTCCTATCTTCCTTTCCTATTGGCCAACAGTGCTTTATTATTAACCAGTATGAGAAACATTCACAGAATGACATCTCCCATCACCCCATAGTTTCTACTCTGTTCCCATACCATACTCCATGTGTGTCTCCCTCTGCAGACACTGAGGTGTTGATCCTGACTCCAGCCATCTCCTAGTCCTGTATTCTGTCTTTATACACTGAAGTATAAGACTGAAGCCATCACTTTCCTTCATAATGGGTGGCATATATGTTTCCATTCAGGAAGGTGGCTCCTGACTTCACACTTGGACGTCTCCTGCCTCACCCTGATTACTAACTTTCCTGTGGGAAGTCCCCCTGCAGGACCTCAGAGAGGCTCTGGAATCGGAGGCACCTGTAATCCAAGGAGACGCAATGAGAGTATTAGGCTAAAACAGGCGGGATTTGGATGCTATATAAAGTGTAGTTAGTTTTTGTTCCTAAGACCCCTCCAGCCTCTGCAGGAGACAGAAAATGAATTCACTGGGTTACACTGCTCCTTATTGGCCTCTTGGCTAGAGATGGGTTCAAGACAGAGGACATGTGACAGCCACTGTGCAAGACATTTAAGATGGACATATGACAGCTCCTGTGCAAGATGTTTCTAGATTAAGATGAGTCTTCGGAAGTTTACTCTGGGTGAAATTTAGGCCAAGAACACCCAACTAATCTGGCCACTTGTGAAAGAAGACAAGGAAATGTATATTGGCTGAGACCTCCAATGTTCTCTATACCCCTCATCCAATTCAAGTGGCAGCTCCCTGACTTTATAGCTATAGGCCACAGTAAACAGAACCAGTGCTCAGAACTGGGTTCCGCATGCTGAGACAGGAGAATCTCTTTGACTTTCTGGCTACTGTTGGTGGTCTTTGAACTGCCAGTTCTCAAATGGCATGGAGACTTCTTATTACTTATGAAAGCTTGGCCTTAGCTTAATCTTGTTCCCAACTAGCTCTTAAAACTTAAATTAACCCTTTTATATTAATGTATGTTCTGCCACGAGACTCCTTACCTCTCCATACTATATATCCAACTGCTTCTCTCTGGTGAATTCCTTGCACCTCAGAGTTCTTATTTCTCTCCAGAAGTCCCGCCTTTTCTCTCCTGTCTAGCTATTGGCCCTTCGGCTCTTTATTAAATCAGTCAGAAGGATTTCACACAGTGTGTTCAAATGTCCCACAACAGGCTACCAGCCTAGTGGTGAGCTCCAGATGCAGTAAGAGATAGTCAGTGGACTAAGGCAGAGAGTGGCATCTCTCAGTGTCTCTGTCTGCCTACCTTTCCCAGAATTCTCCTTGCCACCTAGTCCCACTTACCTTCCTTGGCCAAATGGTGTTTTAGTCATCAACCAATAAGAGAAACCAGTATACAGAAGGACATCCCCCACCAACTTACATTTATCAAAAAAATCACATGAGAGAGGTTAACTATGTGTTTAAAATATATAGGAACAGAATAGCCCCCCAGCCCCCCCCAGTTGTTGGTGGCACACTCCTTTAATCCCAGTACTTGGGAGGCAGAGGCAGGCAGATCTCTGAGTTTGAAGCCAGCCTGGTCTACAGAGGGAGTTCCAGGACAGGACAGACTCCAAAACAATAACAGAGAAAACATGTCTCAAAACAAACAAACAAACAAACAAAAACAAGAGAGAGAGAAAGAGGAAAAAAAAGAAAGAAAAAAGCCACACAGTAGTTCAGTAGTTGTGAATGGTGAAATAAGAAACCCATCAGTGACCCACACAGAAAGGCAAGTGAAAATGAAAATCACATGAGATGCACTTCAGCCCTCTAGTGGAAAAATTAAAAAATTACAAGTATCAAGTGATGCAGCTGCTTAAACAAATGATATTCATATTCTTGTAGATGTACTTCTGCTCCATTCTAAACCTACTTAGAACAGTAATTTGACAATGTATATTCATGCGGAGATATCCGCATTTTATGGCTCATAGTGATGTCTGTAAAATTTGGAGGAGGTCCATATTCAACCATGCATTTATCTGCATAGATGTTTATACTGAAATGCTGCTCTTTCCTATTGCTGGGGATTGAAACTAGGGCTTTCTTTGTACATGGTAGTTACACCCTGTACTACTGAGCTGAAGCCCCACTCTTGAAAGACACTTTATAAAGGCACAGTATAAAAGAACTCAGCACGAGAACGGGACAGCGTTTCATGTGCAGTGTATTGCACACCGCATGCTAAGGACTCAGAACATGGTGTTGGTGGCTTGAATGTGGAGTGTTCTCCACGGTTCGTGTGTTTCCACACTTGGTCCTAGCTTGTGATTCTGTTTGGGGAGCTTTGCTGTTCCTAAGTCTGAGGCATTGAGGTCCTTAACACAGCCATGCTTGTGCCAGCAACACACACGTGTGCAGGACTTCATCTGCTCCCCACAGGAGGAGAACTGGCCGAGATGATAAAGGATGTCATAGAAACTAGAAGGATGAAGTGGGTAACAGGAAGTAAGAGACATTTGATAATGGTTGGTAGATGGAAGAGCAGTTTTATTGGGCTCGACGATAGGAGATGCACATGTTGGGGTCAAGGAGGATGCAGCTCTTGATGATTGCAGGTGCTTCAGATTTTTGCCATCAGCCCACATTTGATTATTTAACGTTTACTGACCCCCAGTGGTTCTCTCCCAGATGGGGTATTCATTTATTCAGCCAATACGTCAGCAAGGGTCTGCGTGTTCACAGACACAGCACTGTAGAGGCTGGGGTTTGCGTGGAAAGCAGGGTGGTGCGCTTTCTGTACTTGTGCCAGTCTGTTTACTGTAGTTATACTTCTGTTCACGGTGCCTAGAGTATGGCGGTTTGAGTATATGTGGTGGAGTATTACTTTAACTAGGCAAAGATGTGTTGCATTTGCTTATGCTGCATTTATTTACCTATGTAAAGATGTGTTGCTTTGCCTGCCTAAGGCACTTGATTGGTCTAAAAGAAAAGTCTGAACAGCCCATCGCTAGTTAGTAGAGGGATAGGTGGGACCGGTGGGCAGAGAGAGAAGAGTGAGGGAGAAATAGAAGGATGCCTGGGGCCAGCCAGGCAGGTAGCCACCAGCCAGCCAGACATAGGGTAGGACATACGGAGCGAAAGAAAGGTAGGCCCTGAAGCAAGACACAGGCGAAGAGAAACAGGGTAACCTAAGTTATAGGAGCTAGCGGGGCAAACAGAACATAAGATAAGGCTGAGCATTTAATTAGTAATAAGTCTCCACGTCATGATTTGGGAGTTGGTACGAAAGAAAGCCTATTACAAGGACAGGTGCTTTTTGTTTGAAGGACGTCCAAAGCCTGAATCTACTGTTGTGACATATAGAGATATTTAAGCTCACAATAATTTTTAGGTACCAAAACTCATTGCTTTTCACGTCTAGAAGTTACAATAAATAACGGCTTTATAGTAAGTGATCCCAATTTAGACTCAGCATTTATTGGGAACAAATGTCTTTGTAATGAAACACGAGCCTGACCGGTTGCCTTTATCTGCATATGAACTTTGGCTGAGAGCCTTGAAAATACCGAATATACCTCATGGCATGTCCTGCTTGCTGTCCCCAAGCCTTTCTCTCACCTTCCTCTCCGTCCTTCACAGGAATTGTGTTTGCACACTATGGTGCGATCTGGAAACAACAGAGGAAGTTCTCCCATTCCACGCTTCGTCACTTCGGTCTGGGAAAGCTTAGCCTGGAACCCAAGATTATCGAGGAGTTCCAGTATGTGAAAGAGGAAATGCAAAAACACGGAGACGCCCCCTTCAGCCCTTTCCCCATCATCAGCAACGCCGTCTCCAACATCATCTGTTCCCTGTGCTTCGGCCAACGCTTCGATTACACGAACAAGGAGTTTAAAAAGGTGCTGGACTTCATGTCTCGAGGGTTAGAAATCTGCTTGCACAGCCAGCTCTTCCTGATCAACATATGCTCCTGGTTTTACTACCTTCCCTTTGGGCCGTGCAAGGAGCTGAGGCAGATTGAAAGGGACATAACCTGCTTCCTCAAAAACATCATCAAAGAGCATCAGGAGTCTCTGGACGCCAGCAGCCCTCAGGACTTCATAGACATGTACCTTCTGCACGTGGCGGAGGAGAGGAGCAGCAGCAGCGGCTCCAGCTTCAGCGAGGACTACCTGTTCTACATCATCGGGGACCTGTTCATTGCCGGCACTGACACCACCACCAACTCTTTGCTTTGGTGCCTGCTGTACATGTCCCTGAACCCTGACGTGCAAAGTAATTGGTAGATTTGTTCTTTCCCCAGGCTAAAGGCAGGCTATTTAAACCAGGTAGCAGCCTCTGTCTCTGATCTGCTGGCTCCGGGCACGCATGTTCCCAGGCCGGAAAACAAAATAAACACTTGCATTGTATAGGGAGCTTCGGATATGAACGGTGAAGCCTCTAGATGGACTAGCGCCATGGCTTGCTCACCCCCGCTTCAGTCCCGGTCCCTGTGGAATCTGTGAAAGGGAAGGGCCATTAGGAAGTGAGGTGTTACAGGGCCAAGTAAGTCACGGTGTACAACTGAACCTTTCCGTCTTATTCTGAAAATGGAGAACACAAGCCCCCCCCCCAAAAGCCGGTGAAAGTCATAGCCGCTACCACCACGTCAGCCCAGGGACAGGCAGCAAGAGGCAGTGACGGTAAATACGGAATGAGTAGAGGAGCATGGTAGACCGGTTTCTACTTCAGCTGTAACTAGTCACGACAAACCTTAAACACACCCGGATTTGTTCTAAGAGTTTGTGTCAGAAGTGTGGCGTGTGCTTCCCTGGGCTATAGACGAGGGTGTTGGCCAGGCTGTACTGCTCTCTGGAGGCCTCAGAGGAAAATCCGTGTCCTTTCTATTCCCAGCTTGTTTGACTTCTTGTGGTCCTCTTCTCCGTCTTCAGAGTCTGCGAAGCCGCAGCGCTCTGACCTGGCTTCTGTCTTCACATCTCCTTCTGACTTAAATTAGGCTGGGGAAGGTTATCTGATTTTAAAACCCGTGCTGCTTAGTAACGGGTTCGTGCTCTGAGAATATGACATTAGGTGATTTCATCACTACGCTTAAAACTAAGGTAACCATAGTGTTGCTAGGCAATATAACCTTATAGGGCGCTTAAAACTAAGGTAACCATAGTGTTGCTAGGCAATATAACCTTATAGGGCGCTTAAAACTAAGGTAACCATAGTGTTGCTAGGCAATATAACCTTATAGGGCGCTTAAAACTAAGGTAACCATAGTGTTGCTAGGCAATATAACCTTATAGGGCGCTTAAAACTAAGGTAACCATAGTGTTGCTAGACAATATAACCTTATAGGGCCATGCTTGTCTGAATGCTCTGTGATGAAATAAAGTGTTATCCCATAGCATATACCTGTACTAACGGGACACACCGACTAGCTCAGGATGTGTCCCCATGTTTATGTCTTTAACTTAGTAGGGACAAGCGCAGTTCCTTCTGCTATGTGCTCAGTGGGATGTGATTTGAAGGTATCCCCGAAAGGTTCGTTTGCTAGAAGTTTAGACCTTGGTGGTGTCGTTGAGGATGTGGGGGACCTTGAGATACCGGAAGCAAAGAAATTAGTCACAGGAGCTTGAGAAAGCTTATTCTGGAGACCAAGATTTTTAAGAGTTCAAGTATATGGAGGAAAAAAATAGAAAAGCATGGCAGAATGCCTTTCCTGTGCCCTCTCTCACATCTCCCGAGAGCTTCCCGTGGTCCTCACAGGACCCTCGTTAGTTCCCATGAGACTGGGTTATTACAAAAGGAGCAGCCTCGGCCCGAGTCCCTCTGGATTCCTATTTGCCATGTGACCTGTCCCTCTCACCGTGCTGTGCTTTGATTTAACCAAAGGGGCTGCTGCTGTTCTTAGACCCAGGTCTTCCAGAACTGGGAGCTCAGTGCTTCTTTATAAAGCACCGAGCTTCAAGTTTTCCGTTACAGAGATGGAAAACAGAAAAACAGACCAAGACCCCATGGAAGGTGTCCCATCTGCAAGGCACCACGGGATGGGGTTGCAAACTCTTGCCGTAGTCTGTCGTCGTGGCTGCCTATTTTAACTAGGAACAGATTATCACCAAACTTAGTTGCCTGAAACAATTGCTTCATTATTACCTAAAGTTTTTGAGTCTCAAGAACCTGGGTTGGTGAGGAGCACACACGCGAACCTATGCTAGCTAGCTTTTCAATACTGCAGTGAAGCGGGATTGCTAATCAGCTGATGAGAGGCAAGTATTTGGGCTCATGGTTTCTGAGGACTCAGTCTATGGCCAGGCTCTGTTGCCATGGGGCCAGTGGTAAGGCAGTGCATTGTGGAGGGCAGTTTCCTCTGGGCAGATGCAGAAGACGATTCCCTGGGTTGCACCATTCTCTTCAAGGGCATACCCCCTGGACCTAAATCCTCCCACAAGGCCCTCCCTCATAGTGACACCACTGGGGGGGGGGCGTTTTGAGGGATGTCCTCAAGTGTAGCAACCCCACGGGTAGGGTTCCTGGGGTGTTCGGGATTTCCACATGATGCTGCAGCTGAGAGTCACATGAGAGTTGAATGCTAGGCGCACCTGCATGCTGTCTCTCTTGCCCGGTCTGTTCTGCAGAGCCCCAGCTCAACCGCTTAAGTCTCCCCCAACCCTGAATGAGGCCACCGTTGGCCACTGGCCCCTCAGTGGGTAAAGTTTGCATAGCAGTGCTGACTCGGCTCTCCCGGCTTATCTGTGCTTTTCTTTCTTTTCTTTTCTTTTTTCCCTTTTGCATAGAAAAGGTTCATGAAGAAATTGAAAGGGTCATTGGTTGTGACCGGGTTCCTTCCCTCAAGGACAAGGCCCAGATGCCATACACAGAAGCCACCATCATGGAGGTGCAGAGACTATCCATGGCAGTACCACTTGCCATTCCTCATATGACTTCGGAGAAAACAGGCAAGTCCGGAGCCGGCTTTCCCTGCTCACCCCTGAGGGCACACAGTGTGGGGGAGGGGTGTGGTCACAGAAGAACCAGCTCTGTGTCCCAGGCTGAAAGGTCCTGGGATTGTTTCCGCCCTTAACTGGACATCATCGGTACAGCCACAGTAGCCGTTACCAGGAGCCCTCTGGCCTCTGGCTCACCTACACTTAACACCAGCAAAATATGGTGTCGTCCTCCAAGTCAGCTACTGGGGCAGAAGAAATTCTGGAGTTGACAGTTGACACAACTGGAATCCCAGGGAGGCTGAAGCAGTAGAATTGTGACCTCGGGGATAACTGGTTCAGAGAGTCGGAGAGGGGTTGATGGGGAGGACAGAATGTAAGGCTTCTTGAGATAGTCCAGAATGCAAATTAGACCCACTGTAGTTAGCGCCCAGCACCTGTGGGGTAGTGGCCATCCCGCAGCTGCCACCAGTGAGAGCTGAGTTCCCTGCAGGTCCCTTTTCTTAGTGTGCCCTCCCCATCACATTGCTGAGTGAACAGGAAAGCCTGTAAGCTGTTCCATCCTGTGCTGGGTAGTTTTATGTCACCTTGACACCGGCTGATGTCATCTGAGAGGAGGGAACCTCAGTTGAGATTGGGTTGTCGGCAAGCCTTTAGGGCAGTGCTTCTCCACCTTCCTAAAGCTGTGACCCTTTATTACAGTTCCTCATGTGGCGACCTCAGCCATAAAATTGTATGTGTTGCTACGTCATAACTAATTTTGCTACTGTTAAAAGTCGTAACGTAAATGTCTGACGTTTCTGATGGTCTGAAGCAACCCCTGTGAAAGGGTTGTTCAACCCCCAAAGGGGTCTCGACCCACAGGTCGAGAACTGCTGCTGTAGGGCATTTTCTTAGTTAGTGATGGATGGGGGAAGGTCCGGTCTACTGTGAGTGGAGCCATCCCTCAGCCGGTGGTCCTGGGTTCTATAAGAAAGTAGGCTGAGCAAGCCATGTGAAGCGAGCCAGTAAGCAACTCCCTGCACAGCCTCTGCATCAGCTCCTGCCTCCACGACCTACCCTGTTTAAGTTCCTGTCCTGACTTCCTTCAGTGGTGGACATTGAATTGGAAGCATAGCCAAGTGATGGCCTTTAATCCCAGCACTTGGGAGGCAGGTGGATCTCTGTGAGTCTGAGGCCATCCTGGTTTACAAAGCCAGTTCCAAGACAGGTTCCGAAGCTGTGGAGAAACCCTGTTTCAAGAAACAAAAACAAAACAAAAAGGAAATGAAAGAGTAAGACAAATAAACTCTTTCCTCCCCAAGTTGCTTTGGTTATGCTATTTCATTACAGTAACAATAACCCTAACGAAGACACATTCTGTATACTTTTTAAAAGTATATAAATCTTGGGGGGAAGTTTACCCAGAATGTCCTATTTCTGTTTTAGTGTTTTCTTGATTGTAAGTTTTTATGGCCTGACTTGACTCATAGGGTCTGACTCGATCTAACACCTAGCCCCAGCACTCCCATCTCAGACTGGGTCTGGGGGGGAGAGAGAAAGTGCTGGTTGATAGGATCTTACCCCTCCCCTCAAGAACCTCAGAATTTGGTCTCCACCAGTTACAGTGTTAACTAGGTAAATAATTTCACTCTTGAAACAGTGATGTTGGAAGAAAACTAATAGTGAAACCGTGGCACTGACTTTCTCTTTTGCTGTCTACAGTCCTGCAAGGGTACACAATTCCTAAGGGCACCGTGGTCATTGCCAACTTGTGGTCCATACACAGGGACCCCGCCATTTGGGAGAAGCCAGATGACTTCTGTCCTGATCGGTTTCTGGATGACCAGGGACAACTTTTGAAAAGAGAAACTTTTATTCCTTTTGGGATAGGTCAGTTAAACCTTGGTTTTAACTTTGTTTTTTAACTTCATTATTGTGTGTACGTGCCCATGTGAGCATGCGTGCATGCATGCGTGAGTACACGTGTATGTTTGAGGTGTGTATATGTAAGTGTAAGTGTAGTGATCAGCAGGGTTCTCACCTACTGAGTTGCCTTGCCGACCCAACTTTTTATCTTCTTCAAAATAAAATAAAGTAAGTGGGGCTGTGGATAGCAATGACTCAGTAGCGGAGTGTTCTGCTTACCTTGCATGGTTGAGCCCCTCTGTTCATCCCCAGGAGAGATAGAAGAAAGGAGGGAGTTGGACTTAATCTTTATGACTAGAAATCTTCCTTCCCTGGTTGCTTAGGCTCGATGGGGCCTGAGAAGCAGGGGAGGTTAATGAACTATTGGAGTTAAGCACAACTTTCTTAAAATTACATTTTATGTAATTACTTTGTTGTGTATGTGTTTGTGGTAGGGAGGGAGACAGATGCCCCAAGACACACGAGAGGACACACTTGAAACAGTTGGCTCTGTCCCACAATGTGGGCACCAGGGATTTAGTTTGGGTTGTCGGTCTTGGGTGTCAGCAAGTGCCTTGCCTGTCACAGGCCTACTAGGCTGGTGTGGGGGCTTCACTACCTTCAGGGTCTTTCTTAAGGTTCCTGGATTGAGGCACACAAAGTCCTTTCTGTGGGAATGGAATGTTCTAGAAAGTTTGACCTGACTCTTCCCAAGTCCTCCAGGTGACTGGGAAGGCGAGATAAGCAGGGTGGCTGTTGCTCGGGATCCATGACTAGGAGCACAGTAAAGAACTGGCTGTGTGGACAGATAACCTGGAGACTGTGGCTCACGTTATGATTTTACTTTAAAACTTCCCACAGACTCAAGTTAGACACTTGCTACAAAAGAACACAATCATAATCGTCCCTTCTTCCCTGATCTCCCTTTTAGGGAAGCGGGTGTGTATGGGAGAGCAGCTGGCAAAGATGGAATTATTCCTGATGTTTGTGAGCCTGATGCAGAGCTTCACCTTCGCTTTGCCTGAGGGTTCCGAGAAGCCCATCATGACTGGAAGATTTGGTCTCACGTTAGCCCCACATCCGTTTAATGTAACTGTCTCAAAGAGATGAAGATGCCGCTGGGGGGGGGGGGAGACAACAGCCAAATATGTGTCATAGACAGTCTTCCATGCTGTTGAGCATGGGCCCAGCAACTCAGCACAGACAAGAGACCTGGAAGAAAGGGCTGCCACACCATGGATGCCTCCTGCCCACCAGGAAGCGTGGATGCTGGGTTTCGTTGTGCAGATTCCATCGGGAGCAGACCTTGTCTCTCATCCTCCGTTGATGCATGGTAAAATGGGGGTAATGAGATTTCTCGTGGCCTCTGCTATCAGCAGATGCTGGGTAACTCAGGAGTAGACCTGCTCTCAGCCATTTCAGGGCCCCTGACAGCATGGCAGTGTGTTCAGCGTGGACACTTGCTCAGAAAGGGTTGCAGGCCTCCGTTATATTGAAAGAGAAATTGTTTCTTTTTAAGTTTTTTTTTTTTTCTTTTTGCATAGGTTCTGTGTCAGTTTCTTTGGCCTTGTCTTACGAGTATCTTTTGTGTTTAGGTCTGGGTTCTTTACTTTCTATAGAGCTAGGATGAAATGTCCCCATTTCCTGTATGTTGAGGAAAAAGAGAAGCATTCTCCTGAGGTGGCTGTCTACCTGTGTGTCTGCTGCCTGCCACCACATGCCCATCGAGCCTGGTGCACAGCCCAGGTCCCCTCCACCCAGCTGTGTGCAGAGGCGCAGCTCTGTCGTGACTTGGGTTCTGGATGCCATCCCAAGAAACCTAATAACGGAATTAGTCAAAACGGGATTTGTCATCAAAGGGTTCCAACCCCTCTTTTCCGGCTGTGTCATCAGCCGTAGTCTGACTGACTTGATTTTCTCTAAGACAAGGAGCCATTTCTTGATCAGGCGGCCTCTAGAGGCCCTTCCAGGGGCCGCATGGGAGTGTGGGAAAGAATTGAGCATAATGGAGGAGTACTGTGGGCCTTCTGCTCCTAGAGCTGAGGGTGAGCAGTGGCAAAGCATCCTTCCCAGTCAGCAGTGGGAGCTCAGTGTGCCCGAGGCTGGCCCTTCCCTTTCTCGGGTCTCCACAGTCCTGTGGAAGGAGCCGTGGTGACACTGAGCCTTTCTTAGAGTGGCCCCATATGGATGCTTTCTTTGTGTGTATATGTAATCCTCACACTAAGGGCGCTGAGGCTTTGCAGTGCCAAGGCCTACAATTACAAAATGCTGTCGCTGGGTCTGCGAGACACTTGGCCTGTGACCGGAAAGCACTTTCTGAGCCTTCTCAGTATTGGCCCACAGGGACCTGTACCTGTGTTCTCAGTTGCCTGTGGCCGTCTTCAGCCCCGTGGACTCCTTGGGGCCAGGCTCCACACTGCTGCCTCCTCCTCACCATGCCTTATTGTTGTTAGATGCCCAGGCCACTTGGGAGTGAGCTGGGGAAGGTGCTTCAGGGGAGAGCCCACCTATGTGTTTATTGCTGTCACTTTTAAGATCGTTTTAAAACAGTATAATTTGTCCTACCTGTTTAAGACAGTGTTTGAAAATGTACTAGACTTTTTAAAAATAAAGTAACTGTGTTAAACAAATTTAGAATTGATGCCTTAGCTGCTAAAACATGATACAGAATGAAAGCTTCCAGCATCTTCCCACAGACTTTTTGCCCAGGTACTCAGGCAGACTCCCAAGTGCTTACCGAGGTAGAAATAACAGCTGCTGAATAAAAGTCTAATAACTAAAAAGGAAAATGTAGACTATTGTAAAACCACAAATTGATTAATTTTTGATGCTATGTTCTTTATATTACCCACCATACTGTTCTTCTTTTCATAAATTATAAGCACTTTCAAAAAAGATGCACAAAATACAGGCTGGTCTTAGGTACCCTGGAGATTGTTTCATACCAGCATCCTGAAGGTAGAGGGAATGAGTGAGGCTGTATACACTGTGGATGAGTATGCCATCCCTTAAGCAGTGGATGAGTATGCCATCCCTTAAGCAGGATAGTTCGTCCTGATCTGAGATCCGTGCCATTTTAAACCTCGACATTTGCAAGCCCCTTTCTTACTCCTCGACTCACATGTGGATTTCTGGACCTCTCAACCACAGACTTCACATCGTATTTGAAAAAGACTGTGCCTTCTACGCATTGACATCAGAATCCCGCGTATATGCAGCAGTTTAATGCCATGCCTTAAGATGTAGCACTTTGAAAATCCCTTTACACGCTTGCCATAGATGGTTCTTTCCGAACCTACTGATATTTTATGAATTTGCACTTCTTGCTTCATCTGAAATGTGAAGATTACTTTAGGTAGTTGTTTTGAGTCTAACAAAGTCTAACTCTCATCTTTAATGATGTTCTTAGCATTCTTATTGAACTTTGAATTTTAATAAAGGGATTGTGTCTGGTTTGTGTTTGCCTGTTTTTAGTTGCTTGCCAATTTTTGTTGTTTTTACCAAATTTTACTCAAAAAGAAAGAGGAAACAGACCTCCAGAGAGAGAGACCCACAATGTAGTACAGGCCTGGCCTTTAGACAGGAGGGTAACTTTTTAAAATATCCGCTCAGAGGACTTAGTACAGAGAGATGTCCAGACAAGCCATGTTTTCTAATTTACTTGATGTGTGTGAATGTTTTGCCTGATGTACATCTGTGCACTGATGTATGCTCAGCAGATGCCAGAAGATGTCATCCCGTGACCAGAGTTACAGATAGTTGTGAGCTGCCACGTGGGTGCTGGGAACTGAACCTGAGTCCCTTGTAAGAGCAGTGAGTGCTTTCAACTGCTGAGCCCAGTTATCTTATATCTCACACCAGACCCCTGCACAGGTAAGAGAAGGTTGTGTCTTGTGTAAACCTGTTATGGCAAATCACTGAGTGCCTACCTCTAGAGGTTAGCCAGGGATATCACCAAGATTGGTATGTCTGTTGACTAAGATAAATGGTGTGTGAGCATCTACAGTGTGGCCTGGTACATTCTCTGACATACACCTGTCTATTTGAAGACTAGAGCCAGAAAAATGGATGTCAGTTGCCTTCTACCTTCTTGCTGAAATGCCATTAACCAAGGAAGGTGAAGCTCATGTCAGAGGGAGAGACTAAAAGTGAAACCCTGTGTGTAGAGCCCACGGGTGGTTTGAAAGGAGATGTCCCCAAAGGGAGCGGCACTATTAGGAGGTGTGGCCTTGTTGAAGGAGGTGTGGCCTTGTTGAAGGAGGTGTGGCCTTGTTGAAGGAGGTGTGACCTTATTGAAGGAGGTGTGGCCTTATTGGAGGAGGTGTGGCCTTGTTGAAGGAGGTGTGGCCTTGTTGAAGGAGGTGTGGCCTTGTTGAAGGAGGTGTGACCTTATTGAAGGAGGTGTGGCCTTATTGGAGGAGGTGTGGCCTTATTGGAGGAGGTGTGGCCTTGTTGAAGGAGGTGTGGCCTTGTTGAAGGAGGTGTGGCCTTATTGGAGGAAGTGTGTCACTGTGGGGGCAGCCTTGAGGTCTCCTATGCTTAAGTCACACCCTGTCAAGACCACTTCCTGCTGCCTACTGGTCATGTTGTGGGACTCTGAGCTCCTCCAGCACCGTGTCTGCCTTCACACCACCATGTTGTACTATGAGGATAATGGACTGAACCTCTGAACTGTAAGTCAGCCCCAGTTAAAGGTTTTTCCTTTTTAAGAGTTGCTGTGGTCATGTTGTCTCTTCACAGCAATAGAAATCCTAACTGAGACAAGCCAAGAGGAAGTTTGTTCCAGAACATTGTCCCTCTCCTACAATCCCATCTCCCTCTCTTTGAAGAATATATATATGTGTGTGTGTGTGTGTGTGTGTGTGTGTGTGTGTGTGCATATACATACATACATATAGCCACCCCTCTGGGGTCTTTTGTACCATACTTCCAATGATGCCCCTTTCTGGTCCTTCCTAGATCAGATAAAGGAGCTTTAAGTATCCGAAGCATCTTTGCCAGTGGATGATGAGCTAGCTCTGACAGCTTTTCCGAGCTTGAAGACCAGCTCCACAGAAGACTCATCCCACATTCCCATTAAACTGAATTCCCAAGAACGCCTGTGGTAGTTTGGATGAGTTGGCTCCAATAAGCGCATAGGGACTATTAGGACCATTAGGAGGTGTGGCCTTGTTCAGTGGGTGTGGTCTTCTTGGAGGAAGTGTGTCACAGTGGGGGTGGGCTTTGAGGTCTTTCTCAAGCTTCACTCAGTGTGATAGACCGTCAACTTCCAGTTGCCTGTGAGATGTAACACTCAGATTCCTCTGCCCGTATGCCGCATCCCTTTCAGGACAGTCCAGGTGTTTGATGCCAGTGCTTGCAATGAGCCTGTATTTGTTCGTCATAATTCTCACTCATTTCCCAGTGCTTTGGTTTCGCTGAAGCTTGGCTTGCTGGCTTTCCTGCTGCAGAAGCAGAGTCCAGTGAAATAAAACTTCTGATTCTCAAGGAGGCGGGCATGCCTCTCAGAGCACTGGGATTAATGTCCTGACACTCAGAGACAGGATTATGTTACAAGAGGAAGTCTTTTCTCTAAGAAAACATTTGCATTTATTCACATATAACCGATAAAAATGTTTTAAAAATTGCTATCAGTGTTTTTCTAAATAGATGTGTTACACTACATTCAAATACTTACTTGAATACCCATAAGCTGGTCTATATACTGTCATCTGTTCTCAGTAGTTAGAGAAGCCTCACTTAGCAGCTCATGAGGGTGAAAGACCCACAGAGCGCCTAGACCCTCACGCCCCAACTCAGGAAAGGTACCCCCCCCCCCAAATCACTCACTAGGAGCAGTCTTGATGCAAAAGCACGAGGTCTTTTATATTCCAGTGCACTGGGGTCCGCAGCCATATTCCACGTGGGGTAGAGGACTGGGAACCCTGGGTACAGGATTGAGACAGCTTTTATAGGGTTACAACAAAGCCCGCACATAAAAACCAATCATCTCATAGCATCCAGTGCGGACCAATCAATTTGAACTATCCAAGCCCAGGAAGTCTGCTTTTGCCCGGGCTTCTGGTTGGGCTGACAAGGCTCATTTCCTGTGTTCACTCACTCACAGGTGCTGTTGTAAACAGCCCT